AATAACTTTAAATTTAAGGGTAACTTATCTTTAATGGGTTTGAAGTAACTTTGATTTAAATCCAAAAATCTTTAGAAATTTTTGTTATCTAATAGTAAAACCTTTGAGAAATAATTTTCACTGGAAAGACTCCCGTCATCTTTTATGTTTTATCTTTTCTGCTTGCAGCAGAGACAGACAACACTGACGCCTCGCTCCAAGACAAGAGTTGTAGCACAGGACCAACCAATTCTTTTAAGCTGTCTCCAGAAAGGTACTTGAACCGGAAGTTCATTTCTCACACTTCTTTTCCCTTTTGTAGGAGATAGCGCAAGAAATTACCCTTGACTCAAGGATTGTTGCGAGACCGTCAGAAGGTATGGTTTTATACAAGTTTTCTGACTTTTTGTGGCAGGCACGCTGGAGTCGTGGGATGCTAACTATTTACCCGTACAAAAGCCTCTAACTGGTACGTTGTGCCTTGTATTTTCTGGGTTTCTCTTTTGTGCGAGAAGCAGCCATGTCGAAAGACAGTGTGAAGCTCTTGAACTTCTGGCCGAGTATGTTTGGCTTGAGAGTCCACTATGCGCTGGATCTGAAAGGGGTGTCCTACGATTACCAGGAGGAGAGGTTGTTGCCCAACAAGAGCAAGGAGCTTCTCGAGGCAAATCCAATCTACGCTAAGATTCCGGTTCTCATCCACAACGGCAAGCCTATCTGTGAGTCTCTCATCATCGTCGACTACATCGACAGTGTGTGGCCCAGTCCTCACAAGCTCCTCCCGGAAGATCCATACGAAAAGGCTGTGGCTCGCTTCTGGGCAGACTTTGGTGACAAAAAGGTAAACTTGTTGCTTCTTCCGGGTTGATCAAAACCAGATTTTTCCTTACCAACAGCTCTTTGACGCCGGGAGCCGACTCATACGAGCTATGGGGGAGGAGCACAAGAAAGCCGGGGAGGACTTCAAGTGGGCTCTGATGAAAATCGATGAAGCTCTCGGCACCATCGCTCCAGGCAAGCCTTTCTTTGGTGGCGACGCTATGAACTTTGCAGATGTTGCTCTGGCTCCATTCATCTGCTGCTTCAAAGCCTACCAGAAAGTGGGAGGATTCGTGCTTCCAGGCCCGGAAGAATGGCCCAATCTCTACAAGTGGGTGGACGCTGTAAATTCCGTGGATGCGATCAAGATATCCACTCCAAGTCCAGACAAGGTTGCTGAATTCGCTGAGGTTATCAGGCAGCGAGTTATCGGGACTGCCTAAAACACGGACGGTTTTCAAGATAGATGCTGTTTTCGATTCAGCATCTCGATGAGTAACCAATCAAAAGTACTTCAAATAAACAACGTCTCTGTATAGAACTCCTTATGTTAGTGAATTCTAAAGCCTCATTGATAAACTAAATAAGATTTCTAGAAATCCAGATGGTCCTTCGGGGTTCTTGCTTTAGAACTCTGTGTTGTGTGTGTGTGTGTGTTACGATTAGCCTTTTTATTAAAATTTTATCCTTTAAATTCTCCTTATATGTTTATGGAAGCTTCTGTTTAGAAATATGTTTTACAAATTTACATATAACAACTATAAACTAAAAGTATAGAAATAGTAATGAGAAGCTAACACTTTGTTACTATATGATTATACAAACCTTCTCCAGAAATCTTTTATTCATTGCTGAATGTTCTTTTAAAGATTAATTCTTGCCTAAATTATAAGATTTCATTATTTTGTATTTTTTTGTCAATATAAACTTTTTATTACCTCAAATGTGCGTACATCTATATATGGCAAAGCCTTTTGTGTATAACAAATACTTACCCCATTACTATTGTTTTCATATTTATTAGTTTAAACTTTTACTACCTAATAATCCTAGTTTTATATATTTACCAAACTAGCTTAAGTCATTTTTATAAAGATATATATTAAAGATAAATGTTATAATTTTTTTATTTTCTTATATAAAGATTATTTTATTTTATAAAGCTTAAGAAAACATCACTTTTGACGAGCTCTACCTCTGAAATGAATATTTTTTATGGTGTATTTATTTTAATTAATATTTAACTTTATTATTACTTTTTTAAATTAAGTGTGTTGAGAATTATTATTTTTTAAAAATACTTCTCAAGCTTTAATCTTTGTAATAACTACACTTTCACCATCTAATGCTTCTTACTCTATATTTCATACTCCAAATTTATATTCCATGTTTCTACCATTTAATCTCATTTCAAGTTTTTCTATGTTTTGTCAAATATATTTGGAGGAAATAAAAATATTTTAAAAATAAAAACATCATTCAATTATATACATAAAAGAGGCTAATAATTCAATTGTTAGGTTTCTAAATTAGCTTGGAGTTTATATTTACACTAAAATACTTAATTTACACATAATTTAACTTTGTGTAAACCATATAGAAATTAAATACCTTTAAATTTAAGGGTAACATATATTTGGTAGGTTTGAAGTAACTTGAAGTAGTGTTTAATTTTGATTATTGCCTTCAATAAATATTTAGATCAAAAAATCTTTAAAAGTTTTTTTTTATCTAATAGTATCACCTTGCTATTACTTTTTCAAAATAGAGAGAGCAAAAAAAATATGTTAAAGCAAGAATATTACTATAAAGATATATCTCATTATTGTAAGTGTTATATTATAATTCATTGCTTTTGAGAGGATTTTATCCACTACAACATGATTTACAATAATAATTATACATTTTATCTTTTGATTCAATTATTACCAAATTTTTTTACATATATGAAGACAATGGAAGAAAAATCAATAGTTTTCAACTCAAATTTTTATTATTACTTCTGCTCAAAGTTCTTGAAACAATATATAAATTGATTGTAGGTCTTTGAAGTGTTAAACTCTTGAATATCCCTTCATAGAGAAATAAAAACCCTTGAGAAGATTATATAAAAATAAAGAGTAAAATGTATGTTAATTATAAAAAAAATCTTAAAAAGAACAATAGAAGCACATTTTTTAACAAAACTAGAAAGTGACAGAAAAAAAAATACATCAAACTTTGAAAAGTTTTATTTACTTAATGGATTATGCTATTATCATTATGGCATCACCTGACACATTATTTATCTCATAGTTCTGAGTTGTAGATCTCTTTCTTTTCTCTATAGTCTACTAGTAGATTCCTCAAAAAACATCTTAAAGATAGTATGATTAAAAATATCAAAGAGTGAGAAAGAACAAGAGAAAAGATTGATAAAACAAAGATAGAAAGGGAAATATATGCTTTAGTAATTTTTATCATTTTGGTTACTCTATTGTAAAATAAATATTCTAGAAATATTATATTACTGTGAAATTTAAACCTTCAATTCTGGTTAATACTAGCCAGCACTCTTTCTTCAGAATTCTAGCTTGTTAAAGTCTTTTGATGTCAGCAAAATGATGATTTGCTGAAGCCTGGTAATCACATTCTACTATGGCGGGGGGAGTTTATGCTTATCCAATGCTCTATCACTCCATTGCTATTTTTCTCCATCGTCATATATATTGCTCCCTGTCACCATTTTGCTCCATTGGTCCATCACTCCATCACCATTGACGTATTGTGGTGAGCAAATTAGAACTTTTCTGATCTTTTGGCACGCACGCTGAAATCGTGGCCTGCTTCTATATGGCATCACTTAATTGGCAGAATTCGTTTCGGATGGAAAATTTTCTATTTTAACCGGACAAGATATCTCTAGAGCCTTCTAATGTGCTCAACGAATATCCACTGCCTCGCTGATATATACTTCGAGAGAGATGGTACGCTGTGTCTTGTGTTTTCAGAGTTTCTCTTTGGAGTAGAAGCAAGTAGTAGCCATGTCGAAAGGGAGTGTCAAGGTCTTGAGCTTCTGGTCGAGCATGTTTGGCTTGAGAGTTCACTATGCGCTGGATCTGAAAGGGGTGTCCTACGAATACCAGGAGGAGAATTTGTTCAACAAGAGCAAGGAGCTTCTCGAGGCAAATCCAATCTACGCTAAGATTCCGGTTCTCATCCACAACGGCAAGCCTATCTGCGAGTCTCTCATCATCGTTGACTACATCGACAGTGTGTGGCCCAATCCTCACAAGCTCCTCCCAGAAGATCCATACAAAAAGGCTGTGGCTCGCTTCTGGGCAGACTTTGGTGACAAAAAGGTAAAGTTGTCGCTTCTTCCAGGTTGCTTGTTTCTTACTACCAACAGGTCTTTGACGCCGGTAGCCGACTCATACGAGCTACCACCGAGGAGGAGCGCAAAAAAGCCAGCGAGGACTTGAAGTGGGCTCTGATGAAACTCGATGAAGCTCTTGACACCATCGCTCCAGGCAAGCCTTTCTTTGGCGGCGACTCAATGAACTTTGCAGATGTTGCTCTGGCTCCATTCATCTGCTGGTTCAAAGGCTACCAGAAAGTGGGAGGATTCGTGCTTCCAGGCTCGGAAGAATTGCCCAATCTCCACAAGTGGGTGAACGCCGTAAAGTCCGTGGAAGCGATCAGGAAATCCACTCCAAGCCCAGACAAGGTTGCTGAATTCGCCGAGGTTATCAGGAAGCGAGCTATTGGGTCTGCATAAAAGTAAGATGTGCCAAACTCGAAATCTTGATGTATATATGTAGATACTACTTTGAATAAAGAAGAACCGATGTATATAACCTAATATCCATTTGTCGCAAAGCTTGATAAAAGTTTGAATCTCAACATTGAATATTGACAATTTATTCTAATTTATAATTTAGATTCTCATCGAGATTGATACCTTAAACCTTTTAATATTAAAATGAAAAAGTTTATTATTTTAGCCCTAAATAGTTAAGCAAGTATTATTGACAAATATTAAATTAGTCGTAAGGTAGTTAAGACTTCTTAACAATTAATATCAGAGGGGTTATGGGCCCACCATGCTTCCGCTGTGCCATTCTGATATTTTGAAAGTGATCAATTTTTACTTTAATTTGCCCAAGAACTTGCCATTTTTATTGTACAGTTGTGATCCAAAACCCATAAAAACGAGTTAGATGTGTGTGGTACAACACTCCTCTCTCAAATTCATCACCTGGAACCGTCTCCACAACAGAAATTGTCAGCCTCTTTGATTTATACCTGAATGATCTGTGCTCTTTTTTTCTTTCTTTCCTCTCAAGTTGACAACCTTCGAGTTAATATACCGACCGTGACTGCAACTCTGCTGCCCTGTAGTGCTGCTGCTCTTGATGGACGCCTCTCGCTGACTTTGGTGGGCGATTTGTGGCGGGAGTGGTACTTGCCGCTCGCCGGTCCTGCGTGTGTAGTACAAGGAAAAGAAACCATCTTAGCTGCACCGCCAGTGACACAAGAATTGCAAGCACTTACGTCGCGATACGGGTACTCGTCCGCCTCGAGCATGTGAACGACGTGCCCCATCTTGGGCCGCTTCGACGAGTCCGGATCCACACACTGCAGCGCCACCAGCAACGCCTGCTTGAGCGCTCGCGACGCTGGTTTGGGCTCCAAGTTTGGGTCCGCTACTTCTTCCGAGCGCCTTTGCCCGACCATGAGCTTCAGCCAGTGAAGGAGGCCGGCTATAGTCCACGGGATCTCTTCCGGTGACGACCAGACCGAAACTATACACGTCGCTTCGCTCGTTAAGCAATCCTGTGTTTGCATATTCTGGAGCGACATATCTGCAAAGATCAGAGTCACGCGCCATTCGTGAGACTGTCGAGAAGAAATGCTTACATACTAAGTTATTTACCCGAACGTGCCCATGACTCTTGTAGTTACGTGTGTAATTACCTCAAACATAATCTTGACTCGAGGATTGTCGCGAGACTGTCGGAAGGTAAGGTATGGTTTTTATTTTTTATGGAGGTCGCGACAAGTTTTCTGACTTTTTGTGGCAGGGACGCTGGAGTCGTGGGCTGCTAACTATTTACCCGTACAAAAGCCTCTAACTTAGAAACTTCTAAGGTGCCTTGACGAACATCCACCGGCTCGCTGGTACGTTGTGCCTTGTATTTTCTGGGTTTCTCTTTTGTGCAAGTAGCAGCCAGGTCGAAAGACAGTGTGAAGCTCTTGAACTTCTGGCCGAGTGTGTTTGGCTTGAGAGTCCACTATGCGCTGGATCTGAAAGGGGTGTCCTACGATTACCAGGAGGAGAGTTTACCCAACAAGAGCAAGGAGCTTCTCGAGGCAAATCCAATCTACACGAAGATTCCGGTTCTCATCCACAACGGCAAGCCTATCTGCGAGTCTCTTGTCATCGTCGACTACATTGACAATGTGTGGCCCGGTTCTCACAAGCTCCTCCCGGAAGATCCATACTAAAAGGCTCGCTTCTGGGCAGACTTTGGTGACAGAAAGGTAAACTTGTTGCTTCTTCCGGGTTGATCAATACCAGATTTTTCCTTACCAACAGCTCTATGACGCCGGGAGCCGACTCATACGAGCTATGGGGGAGGAGCACAAGAAAGCCAGCAAGGACTTCAAGTGGGCTCTGATGAAAATCGATGAAGCTCTCGGCACCATCGCTCCAGGCAAGCCTTACTTTGGCGGTGAGCTATGAACTTCGCAGATGTTGCTCTGGCTCCATTCATCTGCTGTTTCAAAGCCTACCAGAAAGTGGTAGGATTCGTGCTTCCAGGCCCGGAAGAATGGCCCAATCTCTACAAGTGGGTGGACGCTGTAAATTCCGTGGACGCGATCAAGACATCCACTCCAAGCCCAGACAAGGTTGCTGAATTTGTTGAGCGTTACAGGAAGCATGCTACTGGGGCTGCCTAAAACATGGACGGTTTTCAAGATAGATGCTGTTATCGATTCATCATCTCGATGAGTAAACAATAAAATGTACTTCAAACAAAGAACGTCTCTGACATTTTCTAGATAATCCAGATGGTCCTTCGGGGTTCTTGCTCCAGAAATTTTATCGAACGGCGATTTTTACAGCCTTCTACCACATCAACAGTTGCATTGTTAATCTCGTGTTACGATTAGTCTTTTTATTAAAATCTTATCTTTTAAATTCTCCTTTCATGTTTATGGAAGCTTATGTTTTACAAATTTACATAAAACAACTATAAACTAAAAGTATAGAAATAGTAATGAGAAGCTAAAACATTGTTACTATATGATTAAACAAATAATCTCAAGAATTTTTTTATTCATTGCTGAATGTTATTTTAAAGATTAATTCTTGCCTAAATTATAACATTTCATAATTAAGAAACTTTATATATTTCTTTGTCAATATAAACTTTTTATTACCTCAAATGTGCATACATATATATATGGTAAAGCCTTTTGTAATACTTACCCCAATTGCTATTGTTTTCATATTTATTAGTTTAAAATTTTATTGCCTAATAATCCTAGCTTTATATATTTAATAAATTAGCTCAATTCAAATTCATTTTCTATAAAGATATATATTAAAGATAGATGTTTAAATTTGTTTTTATTGTATAAAGATTACTTTAATTTCATATAGGTTAAGAAAACAATAAGAATTGCCACTTTTGAGGAGCTCTACCTCTGTGTTTATGGTTTAGTTATTTTAATTAATATTTAAAATTTATATTAGTTTATCAAATTAAGTATATTGAGAGTTATTATTTTCCTCAAACTTTAAGATTTGTAACAATTACAATTTCACCATTTTATGTTAAATACTCCAAGATTTATATTTTACATTTCTGCCATTTAATCTCATTTCAATTTTTTTATGCTTTGCTGAAGTATATTTGGAGGAAATTATAAAAATGGGAAAAAGGGCATCATTCAGATATATACACAAAAGATGCTAATTATTCCATTTTTAAATTTCTAAATTAGCTTGGAGTTTATATTTACACAACTTACATATAACCTTTAACTTTATGTAAACTAGAAAGAAATTTATATTTAAGGGAAATTTATTTTTTGTGGTAGTTGGGTTTGAAATAACTTGAAGTAGTGCTTAATTTTGATTTACTACCCATAATAAATATTTAGATCCAAAAATCTTTAGAATTTTTTGTTATCTAAAAACATTATTTTGCCATTAATTTTTCAAACTAGAGAGAGTGAAAGAAAAACCTTGAAGAAAAAATATTACTATAAAATCCATATTCATTATTGTCAATATTATATTGTAGCTTATTGCTTTTGAGAGGATTTTATCTACTACAACATTATTTGTAATAGTAATTACATATTTTGGATTTTGATTCAATTATAACTATAAACTTTTACCTATATGAAGACCATAAAAGAAAAATCAATGTTTTTCAGCTCAAGTTTTTATTATTACTTCCACTCAAAGGTTTTGAAGTAATTTGTAAATTGATTATGGGGCTTTGAAGGTGTTAAACTCTTAAGTATCCCTTCATATAGAGATAAAAAATCTTGAGAAGATTATATAAAATAAATAGTTAATTATGAAAAATTGGAATTTTTCTTGAAAAGAACAATAGAAGCACGTTTTTGAACAAAATTAGAAAGTGAAAGAAAAAAAAGACATCAAGCTTTAAAAAGTTTTATTTACTTAATAGATTATGCTATTATCATTGTAGCATCACCTGACACATTATTTATCTCACAGTTCTAAGTTGTAAAATAAAATACTAGTTTTCTTTCTTTTCTTTACAAAATTGTTTGCCATATAGATATATGCATATTTGAAGTAACAAGAAGTATATATTGATAAAGAAATATGTAAAATTCTAAATTATATAATGTTATAATTTAGGCAAGAATTACTCTTTAAAAGAACATTCAGCAATGAATAAAAGATTTCTCGAGAGTGTTAGCTTCTCATTACTATTTCTATAGTTTTATTATGTAAATTTATAAAAACTATTTCTAAACTAAATAGAAGAATCCTAGACTTAGACACACACACACAGAGAGAGAGAGAGAGAGAGAGAGAGAGAGAGAGAGAGAGAGAGAGAGAGAGAGAGAGAGAGAGAGAGAGAGAGAGAGAGAGAGAGAGAGAGTAACAATACAATGGTAGATGGTAGTAAAAAATTGCCATTCCACAAAATTTCTGGAGCAAGAACCTCGAAGGACCATCTGGATTATTTAGAAAATGTCAGAGATGTTCTTTATTTGAAGTACTTTTTATTGTTTACTCATCAAGATGATGAATCGATAACAGCATCTATCTTGAAAACTGCCCATGTTTTAGGCAGCCCATAGTTGCAGCTAGACGTGCAAACATTCCAACATGTCGACATTTAAATGCCGTTTAAAACATTTTTTAAGAAAACACTAATATTTACTAAAGACACTTTAATCTGATATTAAGTTTATAAAACCTAACCGAATAATATACTAAAACAAATGAAAGAAGAAGCCATTTTAGTTATCTTCCGATTCCGAATCATCTTCCATTCCTTCATCGATGCTAAACTCCTCAATAGCTTGATTTGGTTGCTCAAAAGCTTCTTGCAGATCCAAAATCCTCTTCCAATGAGGCTCCAACTCCAGCTTGCCTATATCAATCTCTAGCATCCTCAAACCTTCACTCTCCAACTTCTGAGCAACCCACAAGTTTGTGTGAATGTAAACTAGCTTCTTAGCATTTTTGGGAAGCAAGTGGGACCTGCACTTTGTTTGTATCAAGCTCCATGAGCTCCAATTCCTCTCGCATGGAGAAGTGCAAACAACCTGGCTTAAAATTCGGAGAGCCATGCGATGTAGATCAAGCATCTCTAAACCAAAAGAACTCCACCAGGTTACTGGGAACTTTCTGGTCTCCCAATCTTTGGCAACAGGTAACCTCATTTGCTGTCCAAGCTGTTGCCAAAACCTCTAAACTGTGCCTACAATCTCAGCTGCAAGTCCAGATCACCTCTGCTATAAACATGCATGTACTCCAGCCAGTTCCCGCGTGCCTCATTATCCAGCTTGTCATTCTTCGGGTTATCCCCCAAAAACAGAGGATGAAGAGCAAAAGCAGCTTCATGAATGACATTGTGCATTTGATACCACCTTGCCTCCTTCAGACCATGTGATTCAAGTAGGAAATCCTTGATTTGTCCCACTTCCTCATGTGCATAAATTCTGTTTTGAGCTCCCTCATCCATCTTCTCGATCAGCCAATCAATAGCTTCAAAGATGAGGCCTGAAGTCACCCCCTCCCGATCAGCGAGCCGAAGAACTCGAAGTAAAGGTTCGAGCAAAATTAACAAATTCTCGCACCACTCCTAGAACAAGTCATCAAGAACACGAGATTGCAGCTCTAGGCCCTCTGGCTTCTTAGACCAGTCAAGTCGCTCCCATTCTTGGCTCACCACCATTCTTCAAAGCCCGGAGAGATTCGTGGTCTCCAGAAGCTGAGACATCACGAGAAAAATATAAGCAAACCTCGTGGTCATAGGCTTTATCAGGTCCCATTTGCAGAAAGTTCTATAAAGAGCTAGAACCCGTGTCTTTGAGGTGATGAAGGTAACTGTCTTCACACAGCCATCAACAAAAGGCTGCACCCAAGATAGAGCTCCAATATCTTCGAACAGCAAGTCTATAACGTGGCAAACGCAGCAAACATGTACAATTTGTGGAAACTCCTGCTGCAAAAGCTCCTCCATGACCACGCAGTTGCTTGCATTGTCCGTCACCACTTGCACAACATTTTCCATGCCAACCTCGACAATCACTTATTTCAACTGCTCAAACAACCATGCTCCGGTTTTCTTGGGCTGTCCACAGCCTTCAGGAAAATTGAGCCTCTCATAGAACTGACCATGAAGTTGATAAGAGACCGCTTTTTGATATTAGACCAGCCATCCGTGACAATGGTACAACCATATGTCCTCCAACTTAGCTGTACATCTTCAAGCCACTTCTGAACGTTATTGTAGATTTGATGTAGCTCAGTTGTCCGCAACTTCTCATATCCCATGAGGTTGTCAATCACTAAATGCCCCACTTTTGCAGCAACTTTCAACATTCTCTTCAAGTTATCTCTTCAGATTGTGTTGAAGGAGATGTCCTCGGCAAAGAAGAACTCTGCAACAGCATCATCTAGTGCCTCAGCCGAAGCAGTATCAAAAAATATCACCAAATTTCCATCTGAGGATCTGCATTTTGCTGCTCTGCTTGTCCCAGCACTGGACCAGTTCTCCATGCTTGCCACCATAGATTCTGCTGGCCCCCCTGAACCCTGTGAGGCTTGCTGCAGCAGATGCCCATCATCGGCATCTGCTGGGTCTGCTAGCTCGAAATCGGAAAAACTGCTGCGAGCTTTTTTAAGAACCTCATAAGGGATCTCCCTCATTTCCTTTCACGTTTTCACACCTCTTGCCTGAACTCTAGCAAGATGTACTTGCACTCGGTCCACTCCCCTAGTGTGAATCTCATGACAATACTTACATGTCCAATGCCGCTCTGCTCGTATGACATGCTTCCAGCTCCAGCATTCGCGGCATCCTCCAATTCCTGTCATGACCACAGGAACCCTGAAGAAACCCTAAAGAAACCTTTGTCTCTTTTCGCAAATAGTGCAAACCCATTGGGAGTTTAGAATGGCGTTTTTGAACGCGTTTAAAACATTACGTTTTTTAAGTTTCACACGTTTTCCAGCAACTATGAGGCAGCCCCAGTAGCATGCTTTCTGTAATGCTCAACAAATTCAGCAACCTTATCATCGCTTGGAGTGGATATCTTGATTGCATCCATGGAATTTACAGCATCCACCCACTTGTAGAGATTGGGCCATTCTTATGGGCTTGGAAGCACGAATCCTCCCACTTTCTGGTAGCCTTTGAACCAGCAGATGAATGGAGCCAGAGCAACATCTGCAAAGTTCATAGTGTCACCGCCAAAGAAAGGCTTGCCTGGAGCGATGGTGTCGAGAGCTTCATTGATTTTCATTAGAGCCCACTTGAAGTCCTCATTGGCTTTCTTGTGCTCCTCCCCCATAGCTCGTATGAGTCAGCTCCCGGCATCATAGAGCTGTTGGTAAGGAAAAATCTGGTATTGATCAACCCAAAAGAAGCAACAAGTTTACCTTTTTGTCACCAAAGTCTGCCCAAAAGCGAGCCACAGTCTTTTCATATGGATCTTCTGGGGAGCTTGTGAGAACCAGGCCACACACTGTCAATGTGATGAGAGACTCACAGATAGGCTTGCTATTGTGGATGAGAACCGGAATCTTCATATAGATTGGATTTGCCTCGAGAAGCTCCTTGCTCTTGTTGGGCAAACTCTCCTCCTGGTAATTGTAGAACACCCCTTTCAAATCCAGCGCATAGTGGACTCTCAAGCCAAATGTACTTGGCCAGAAGTTCAAGAGCTTCACACTGTCTTTCAACATGGCTGCTACTCGCACAAAGGAGAATCTCAGAAAATACAAGGCACAACATACCAGCGAGCTGGTGGATGTTTATTAAGGCACCTTAGAAGTTTCTAAGTTAGAGGCTTTTGTACAGGTAAATAGTTAGCAGCCCCTGACTCCAGTGTGCCTGCCACTAAAAGTTAGAAATCTTGTTGTGACGTCTATGAAAATTAAAAACCATATCTTACCTTCTTACAGTATTGCAACAATCCTTAAGTCAAGATTATATTTGAGGTAATTACACATGTAATTATAAGAGTCATGAGCACGTTTAAGTAGAGGTGCATAATTACACATGTAACTACACCAAAGTTGGCACAGAGTTGCTAACTATGGTGCAGTGCTAATGTGAGATAGAAATCCGTAAGTCCTAAAGTGGAGCCGAAAGAGTGCCACATGGTAGTGGCTAAAGTGAAAGCCAAATAAGCCTAACACATTCGGACTAAAAGCTTTGACTTGAAGAGCTGAGAATGAGAGTGAAACTCCCAATGGAGTGCTCAAGGAACGAGCATGAAGTAATAAAAGAATCTCTAGAAAAAGGACATAAGAGGATGAACACATGACACATGGTGGAGTCAAAGATGGACCTGAGATGGAGTCCAAGACCAAGATGGAGTCCGAGATGGATCCAAGATGGAGTCCAAGATGGAGTCCGAGATGGACCTAAGATGGAGTCTAAGATGGACCCAAGATGGACCCGAGATGGAGTCCAAAGTCAAGGCCGAGACCGAGATTGAGACCGAGAATGAGACCGAGACCGAGACCAGGACCAAGACTGAGACTAAGACTGGGACCGAGACCGAGGCTGAGACCGAGACCAAGACTGAGACCGAGTTCAAGTCGGAGTCTAAGTCTGAGTCCGAGTCCAAGTCCAAGTCTGAGTTCGAGTTCGAGTCTGAGTTCGAGTCTAAGTCTGAGTCCAAGGGTGAAAGCCTAAAGCGCTCATCTCCCAAACCCTAGGGGGTTTAGTGAGCTCCAAAAGTATAGTAGGGGGAAGACCCCAGTGGAGCCAATTTGGCCAGAAAAGGCCAATGTGACCAAGGAAGGCTATACCTACGTGTTAGGTGATGATAAAACCATTAAGGAGTCTAAAGTTAGAGTGAATACAGATAGACAAGCGGGGTAGTTTGGTGAAGTGTTTAAGAGCTAACTCTAGCTCCCTTAGGAGATCAAATGGTCGATATTCCCAATCCAAGTGTGGGTGGCACTACCTACTTGGATACCGGGCGTGGCTCATCAGAACCTTGCTCTAAGCCCATGTCTAGAGCACCCAAAAGCGGAAGATGGGAGAGTACCCATGAGGCTCGCATAGGGCCACGGTGTTCTAAAATGTTGTCCCAAAGTCTTAGACTATGGAAAAGAAGAGGAGCAGTCCTTTGGTGTAATGACCAAAGATAAGTCATATAATGAGGATGTCCCAGAGGACAATGGGACTTAGTGTCGGGCTTATAGGCCTTGACCTAGTGGTAGTGGTTGAGAACTCAGCCATGGACGGAAAGGGACTTGGTGGGGACCAAAAAAAGGATATTGGGGAAGGTTATTCCCCATGTTTGTGAGCATCCTAAGGATGCTAAAGAGTGGATTTAGGATGATCATTCATGGATGGATGGCCTAGTCTTTGAGAGACAAGATTGGGATGTAGGTGGTGTTGGATCATTAATATGATAAAAGTGAATGCGCATGGCCTTAGCGTAACAGGCTAGTATGTCAGTGGTACATTTATGTGTCGGTCATGGGGTTGGACACATAGAGCACTTGGACCAAGTGTAATGGTTGAGTGGCATGGATGCTATTCTCAGGGCTAGCAAGTCCCCAAGTCTAGAATAAGATTTGTGGGGGTTGTGAGTGAAACTCCTCCAAGTGGTTGGAGGTATGGTTAAGTGATTAAAGTAGAATGGAAAATTTAATCACTTATAGCTAACTGATAGTTAGCATGAGAAATGATTGCTTTGGTCTTGGCAAATACCTAGACACAAGTGGAAAGTGTCGTGAGAGTAAGATCATGGAGATGATGGGGTGGAAACCCTAAGTGTCTCAAAGGATAAGGCCTTGAAGTCAAATAAGTTAATTCATGAGAATATTTTGCCAAAGGAATCCTAATGAAAATGATATTGACATAGCCTAATCTAGAAGGCATGTTATTTGAGTGTGTGGACCTAAATAATGACGGAGGTGTAGAATCATTAGCAATGAGTTATAGGACTTAACAACTATGAGACAACTAAACAAAATATGTGGCATAACTAATTGAATTAGTGGAAATCAACTTCCCAAGACTTTATATTAGGACAAGAAGGAAAATAGATATATCCCTCAAGGGATAAATTACTTATGTTACAATATAGTGGTTGTAAAAGGAAATACTCATTGTTAAAGAGGTCTATCATTAGGAACCTAAACACTCTTGAACACCCAGGAAATGGTATTTTGTATCATAAAGGCATTAGATAAAGCCCTAGGAACTAAGTCCTTAAAGAATAATGGATATGAGGTGCTATTTAATATCTAATAAAGTAGTAAAAAGCTAGAGACAGGAAAAATCAATCTATCCAAAATTGGACAAAGATAAAAAGGATTTTTGTAGGGGTAACAATAGGCATAAAGAAGCCTGTGTATAACAATGTTAATCTTGGTGTGTAGGATTATACAGTGAGTATATCTAGTTTGAAGAACCATTCGCTAAGTCATTGAGTAAATTCATCTTTAAGAATGCTTGCTAAAGCATAGAAAGTGCAAAGTTCCTTAGTCATGAAAAAAATAACTAAAGGGAATGTAAAAAACCAAAAGTAAATAATAAAGGGATAAAATCGAATCATAAAAATCAAAAGGCATAACCAAGGATGGTTATACAAGTTGGGAGTGAAGAATCAAGTCGATGTTTGAAGGTGTTGCTACTGGCAACTGTGATGCTTTAATAAGTCTAAAGTATGGAATTATCCATGTTAAACTATATGGCAATTAGAAGGCTTATGAAAGAGAAGCCTTAGCAAGCTAAGGGACTAAGTCCCTTCAAGGTTCCCAAAAATAATTTTAGATAAGTTAATACCTAGAAAGACAAGTATAAATAGTTTATAGGAACATATGAAATCAAAATGGCACAGCAGAAGCATGGTCTTAATGCTTGCTAGGAAGCAAAAGTATCAAAGTTGGGGAAATAGTCTTTGAGTGTTCAAAGAGTGGCATTGAATTAAAGTTGATGGTTAAGGATGTAAGCAATTAATTTTTCCATTCTACTTTAATCACTTAACCATACCTCCGACCACTTGGAAGAGTCTCATTCACAACCTCCATAAGTCCAACTCAGGACTTGGGGCTTGCTAGCCCCGAGAATGGCATCCATGCCACTCAACCTTAGCACTTGGTCCAAGTGCTCCACGTGTCCGATCCCATGATCGACACCCCAAGGTACCACCGACATATCGGCCCATTACGCTAAGGCTATATCTATTCACTTTGGTCACATCGGTGGTCCAACACCACCTACATTGCAATCCCGTCTCTCATACACTAAGCCATCCATCCATGAGTGATCATCCCAGATCCACTCCTTAGCATCCTTAGGATGCTTGCAGACATGGGGAATAGCTTTCGCCGACAACTCTTTTCCAGTCCCCACCCAGTCCCTTTTAGTCCATGGCCGTGTTCGCCAACACTGCCACTGGATCGAGGCCCGCAGGCCTGACCGCTAAGTCCCACTATCCTTTGGGACTTCCTCACCACGTGACCGTATCCTTAGTCACTGCATTAGAGGCCTACTCCTCTTCCCTTTCACCATTTGGGACTTTGGGACAACATTTCGGAACACCGTGGCCTTACGCAGGCCTTATGGGTACTCTCCCCGCCTTTCGCCTCTAAGTGCTCTAGCCATGGGCTTAGAGCGAGGTTCCATTGAGCCACGACAGGTATCCAAGTAGGTAGTGCCACCCACACTTGGATTAGGAGCATCGGCCAATCAATCTCCCAGGGGAACTAGAGCCGGCTCTTGAACACTTCACCAAGCTACCCTGCTTGTCGGCTTGTGTTCACTCTAGTCTTGGACTTCCCAGTGGGCAGCTCATCACCCAACACTAGGTCCGCCCTTCCTGGGCCAAACTGGCCTTTCCTGGCCTAACTGGCTCCACTGCAGTTCTCCCCCTACTATACTTTTGGAGCTCACCAAACCCCCCAGGGTCTGGGAGACAAACGCTTTGGGCTTTCACCCTCTCAGACTTGAACTCGGACTCGGACTCGGACTCGGGCTTGGGCTCAGTCTCGGCCTCGGCCTCGGTCTCGGCCTCGGTCCCGGTCTCGGTCTCGGTCCCGGTCCCGGTCCCGGTCTCAGCCCGGTCTCGGTCTCGGTCTCGGTCTTGGTCTCGACTTCAGACTCCATCTCGGGTCCATCTCGGACTCCATCTCGGACTCCATCTCGTGTCCATCTCGGACCCCATCTCGGGTCCATCTTGGACTCTATCTCGGACTCCATCTTGGACTCCATCTCGGACTCCATCTTGGACTCCATCTCGAACTCCATCTCGGGTTCATTTTGGGTCCACCTCGGACTCCATCTCGGACTCCATCTCGGGTTCATCTCGGATCCACCTCGGACTCCATCTCGGGCTCCATCTCGGACTCCATCTCGGGTCCATCTCGGACACTTCCACGTGTCATGTGTTGGTCTTTTTGGGTCCCTTTTTGGAGCCTCACTTATTGCTCGCTTCGTGCTCATTCCGTGAGCACTTCGTTGGGAGTTCCACTCTTGCTTTCGACCTTTCAAGTCGGAGCTTTTAGTCCAAACGTCTTACGCTCGTTTGGTTTTCGCTTCGGCCACTACCATGTGGCACCCTTCCAGCTCCACTTGGGGCCTAGG